GTAAAATGTAAATCGAGTAGCAATAAGAAATTTGCAATGTTTTTTTTTTTTTTTTTTTAACTGACATGCTGCTGACTTTAGATTTCAATACGCTATCCTTTGAGCACATCTTACATACACAAATCACACTGTTGTGGTTAGAACGAAGTAAAAAATAAAAAAAAATCAAGCATGCTATGGTTTCAAAAGTTCAGCTAGTCTGTTTTTAGCTAGTTCTCTTTAATGCTGTTTTACTGCAGTCGGGTTGAGTTGGTTTAGACTTGAGTATCAAAGAGCAGAGTAACAATCAATCGGTTACCTCAAGGGTAGCCAGCGCCACACGCCTTGCGCTTGAAATATTTATAACACAGGCTTGCTAGTGCTCGTTTTCTCTCCTTTTTTTTCTCCTCTTCCCCCTCACTCCATCCTCGTTCCTTTCTCTCAGTCTCTCCTCAGGTGCTTTGTGTTTGCAGTCTGCGCACTAGCTTGAACCGATTGTCAATTCAAAGCTTGACTCCGCGACCTATCACTGCCATGTTTATTCTCTAAACGTTAATTTCGTGAGATAGGGCAGAATGTGACACCGCTGGGGGCGACTCGGTTTACCGCGTTGATCAAACATGATAAGTGGGTGCTGACCACACAGTATTTCAGTAATAGGGTTTGATAACAGAGACGCTAGTGCTTTCTCAAAGTCAGACCACTGAGAGGTTAGCGCTAGCATTAGCTGCGGGTGTGCTCTTACATTCGGAAGGAGCCGTGAATGAATCAGGCTGTGTATTAGCGCTCGGTAATTAAGTCTATAATTAGCCGCGTGCTAGTATGCGATACTCATACAATGGCTTCACGTGGCGATGCTCAGTGTTAGCACAAAGGGCACATGAACAAGTCTGCTAACCTGAACTCCAGGGGAGAAGTAAAGAAAAAATCATTCAAAGTTTTCTCCCCTTTCAGTGTTTTTTTTTTCCTTCTTTATTTCTTCACCGGAGCATGTTCATGTTCACACATCCATAATCAAAAATGTCAATAGCTATTTTTAGCAAATGACTGCACTTGTATGACACGACTAAATATCCCAGAATTCAGTAATAGGAATTCATGTGTGCTATTTATACATTCAGACTAGGGTGAGGCCGATAAACGATATTATATCTAATCACAATGTCAATAACATTTCTAAGTGGTGGTTCATTCTGCAGTGACGACCCCAGATTAATAAATGGACTAAGTCGAAAACAGAATTAATGAATTAATGAACAATGATAAGCTTTGGACTTTTTAACTGTATATTGATCCAAAAGCCAATCACACAGCAGAAATGTGCAACAATGGGAATCTAAAAGTGTGTTGATATTTGAGATTTCCGTACCGAGATTTCAGCCACCAAAAATTTATCAGCTGAAAATATTATGCCATTTAATGGACTGCAATGCCAACACTTCCATCATGAACTGTGACGTTGCAATAAAGTTTTCCCAGAGTGGATCCACTATCAGGCGTGGGAAAACTTTGTTATTGAGGCATCACAGCTTGTGATCGAAGTGTTGGTGTCAGAAGTGGGATGAATCCTCACTTCTTCACATGGACCCTCTAAATTTTGTGGCTTCAGTCATTGTTAGGGTACACTCCTTTAAATCCAGATACATTAACAACTTATATCGAAATACACAGTTGAAGTCAGAACTATTAGCTCCCCTTTGAATTTTTTTTCTTTTTTAAATATTTCCCAAATTATGTTTAACAGAGCAAAGAAATTTTCACAGCCTGTCTGATAATATTTTTTCTTCTGGAGAAAGCCTTAATTGTTTTAATTCAACTGGAATAAAAGCAGTTATTACTTTTTTAAACACCATTTTAGGGACACTTATTTCGATAGTCAACAGAACTAGTACCTAATTAACCTAGTTAAGCTGTTAAATCTCACTTTAAGCTGTATAGAATGGTCTTGAAAAATATCTAGCAATATATTATTCACTGTCATAACGGTAAAGATAAAATAGATTAGTTATTAGAGATGAGTTATTAAAACTATTATATTTAGAAATGTGTCGAAAAAGCTTTCGCTCTGTGTTTAACAGAAATTGGGGGGAAAAATAAACAGGGGGTCTAATAATTCAGGGAGGCTAATATTTCTGACTGTGTATAGTTATCATTCAATATAGAAAACTTCATTTTTGCCATATCACCCAGCCCCTAATTCAGACCAATGGTTTAAAAAAAATTTAGATTTACTTTTAAGAGTAACCTTATTTTTAGCCTGCTCAAACTGTGACTTTACATTTTTGACACCCACTAAACAAACATTAAAGCAGGTCAGATACTATTTACGTCTTTCAAACAGCCATTAACATTTGTTATTCGTTAAGATGTTTATCAAACACAAGAGAACAGCAAACGCAAGCAGAATATATGCACAGGGGAATCATTTACAAGATCAATATGATGCATTTAGAAAACAGATAGGATTACTTTAGAATGCATAAAGTACAAGATATAGACCAAATGCACATCGAGTACTCACTGTATGCGCAGCCATAGACCTCCACTCTGAGGCCCATCCATCCTCCGGGACTCCAATCCATCGGCAAGAACCGCAGAAACCGTGTTCGTATTGAGTGCGAGAGCTTGTGGTGAACAACCCCATCTGAATTTGTGTTTCCAGGGAACGTCTGTATGAAAACAAACAAACAACAACAAAAGGAATCTTTAAGATTTGGTCTTGTTGGCATCTGTACTTCATGTCATGTCAAACATTTTAAATCCTTGGTGCAAAAATGAGTATTTTGATGCAAATAACACCAAATTAAAACTATTGCTAGTACACCACACTCAAAAAACACAATTACTAACACACAATTGTATGTTTTGCTCAAAGAAAGTCTAATCAATTATTTTTTTTCCCCTCACTATCATTACAATAGTTTTAGCAGTACATAAGAATCTATGAAATGTTGAATTTCTAGCAGTCTATGAATTAGAGAATATTTTTCTTTCACACTAAATCCATTAAAAAATGGCTCAAGTTTGTTTTGCCAAGCGTTCCCAGACAGATTTAGCAATCTGTTCAAGTAGGTTACACAATTTTCTTTGCCAAAATGTGCTAATGTGACTGTGCCCTAATGCTAATGTTTTACTAGCACTCTCATTTACATTCTGTCACATAGACTTGAATGTAACTAAACTTCTGTCTCATAGACTTCAGCAGAATAAATCGTTTATTGTTAACAATTGTTAACAATAGTAGCCTATCTAAAGGGCTGGTTAACCAGTAGATACTAGTATTCTGTATTTTGCCTTTCACACTGCATTTAACACTGGTTTTAGCCTCAAGGCTGTTTTTCATCTCTGCGTCAAAAGCGTATATACATCTTGCCATGGCTGACACTGAAGCTGATGTGCACCTCTGAAAAAAATTTAACTACATGTCGCAACGGATTGGCCATGTAAACCCGTTGGAGTGAGTGTTTAGAAGTGTCGAGTCCTATGAAGGAGCTCCAGATAAAAACTTTTGTTTTGTGTTTACCTTATGATTAATGTTGCTGCACGTCTGACGGTTCCCACCTTTAAATGAGCGAGTTTTAGCTACTTGTACATTAAGGTAGCATTTCGAAAAAAACAAAACACCCACGAAGAAACTTGAAACAGAGGAACATAAAAACCTACTGCCAGCTAGCATTTCGGAAGTGTTATTGCAGAACAACACAAACAGCACGCAGAAGTATAAATGCATGACTATGTGCAAGGCATTACTCGACGCAGAAGTATAAACCAGCCTTTAAGTAGGACGTGCTACGAAGGATGAGCACCACTTTTCTATCCTGGCTCATAAAACCCTTTGTTTGGAGCAGGATTAGCACTGTTTTTGCAGTCTAGGATTGCGCAGTGTGAAACATACCGCAGATAAATTACAAGCGTTGTAAAATATACAGTTACTTTAAATCAACGTTTATAATGACTCTCTTGATCGCTACATTCATTAGGTGGTGACATATGACAGACAAAAAAAACTCTTTAAATGACCAGGAATGGTAATTGTTCCCAGCATGCACAGGGCGTCAGCAAGACGTCAGATTGACGTGGTACCCCAACATCGTGGGACGCTGCATTTTGTTTGGAAAGGAAAATCGGGTTGACATCAGAACCCAACATCAGGCCAACGTCAAAGTCCAATGTCGGAAAGACACTGTATTTGGGTTACTTTCCAACGGAAACTAAAAACAACAAATATTAGCATCTAATTATGTTACAGCTTGATGATGTGTGGACGTTACCAAAATTATGTCTATCAGACGCTGGATGATGACGTTTGGTTGCCATACCAATAAATACTATTATTTGACGTCAATATGACGCTGGTTTAAGATGTTGGCTAACGTTAAATTTTGGTCACTTTCTAACACAACATGAAATCAACAAAATAAACGCCATTTCACGTCGTTATTCAATGACCAAAAAAAAAAACTGCAACCTAAATCTAACCTTGTAATAAAATCGTATGACAATGCTTGTCTGCTGGGTTAGCTTTCTACAGGTATTTAGCTCTCCTACTCTAAATTAGCATCTCGGCTTAACTCTCCCAAACTCTCCCAAAGTCAAGAGTTGACTATCTATACACAGAGCTGAACTTTTGGCAAGCTGCATTTACCTAAGATTTAAAAAGCTAACAGGAAAAGTTAGCGGGGAGCCCCTGGCAGCGTTAGTTTCTTTAAGCGGCACTCAAAGCGTCACCGCTAATCTAAACCTCCAGTTTTAGAATAGCTGGGGGTCCTACCTCCAGCTGTAGAGCCTAGAAGAAGAAGAAGAAAAAGAAAAAAAAAAGCACAACCAGGAGGCACCTACCGCTCTTTAAAAATGTTCCGCGTCTTTTAATCTTCCACTCATTAAAATACTTCACACCTTCAAAGACTTCCATTAAACTCTGTTCTCAAACTAATCAGCACCTTTTTTTTTCCTCCCGCTGGGTGGGAGATAAAAAGAACAGAACATTAAGCCATCAGCGAACAAAATAAATAAATAAATGCATAAATTCAAATAAAAAAAAGTTTATATAGGGAAAATATATATACACACAGCACCTTTGCCTCCAGCTCTCTGTTTGTTTAGCTCCAATGATTACATTAGCAGCTTATCCAAGCCTTCATAATGAGAGACGACGGAGATGGCAGGTAAGATCTCAGTAATGTTTCACTCCAGATCTCTTCGAGCCGGCGCTAAATAAGAACGCTGGGGAATGATGGAGCTTTGAAATGACGAGTATTGATTCAAAAGAGGAGGGGGAAGCCCATTTGTTTGCCTGTAAGTGCGAAGGCAATGCAGCCGCTCTCTCTTGTGATGCAAGGGGCCGTCCCGATCGATCCCAAAGTTGTCAAAATAAAACTATCCAAAAAAAGAAAACGCAATTCGAGTTGGGCAGACAAGGGTTTTAGCTGACCGATGAGGTCAGGAGACCATGAAATAAGTTTTGCCAGGGATATAAAGTCACGTCACTCAAGATAGGGCGTGTGTTTAATCTTACTTTTCACCGATTAAATGAAATCCAAGTCGGTAATTAAAATTTGAACGCTTTGCGGGTGGCTGGTTTTCGGTGTGCTGACAGCGTCCGACGGTGCAAGGGTGGATGCATTAATTCATCCTAGTAAATTATAATGATTTAGTTAAAGACACAGACGCTTAATGATTCTGGGTGTGCATGCATTTTATTCCGGTCATAAAAGCCCCCCTGATCCACATTATCCAGAAAGCTTTTACGGCGCTTATTGCTCTGGCCGAAGTACTAATGCATTATAAATATAATAAAAGCCTGGATTATTTATAAGAGTACTCGAATAACTCACCCCTATGTTGTCCTCCTGTCTGAACTGCTTCCAAGCTCTCCCTGTGTCACTGTACAGCAACATGTAACTCGTAACCCAATCAGGACTCCCGAAACGACCCTGGGTCGCCACAGCTGTGACCTCGACCCTTTCTTGCAGGTCCACCTGTAGCCATCGTAGCCTGTCTGTTCGCTCCGGAGCCCAGCCGCCACCTCCTAACACAAGAACAGAAGGAGTGAGCAATTCCAGCGTTGCTGTAAAGGCTTGAAACATAAATTCAAAGACATTGTATATGTTAACAGCATATTGAAATATCTGTTCATATCATCCACAACATCGAACGACAAAGTTAGATCAGAAAAATTCTGTAAGAAAATCTGTAAGTATGTGTGATATTTGAGATAAAGGAGAGAAATGAGCATGCTTTATGTATGTGACCTCCCCCAAAAAATGAGTTTAAAATATATACTTGAAAACATACTTTGTGAAATTCTATGAAAAACTGCACAAAGTGTTGGCTATGGAAATAATAAAAGAAAAAAATCCCTGACTAGCACTAAGACACCTTTTTGCACTAATTCAATTGTACACTCTATCAAGGGCACTTAGATGTGCTGATCAGTTACTTTTGGCTGATCCATGCACAAGGTTAAAAACCAGGGGAATTGTGCTATAGCAGTGGTTGCCCCCACACTTTGGAATAATTAGCCCCACCATGTTAGGCAGGCCAAAACCCTCTTTTTTTATCTTAAAACTAAAATTCTTTAGAAAAAAAAATTAAATAAAGGTGGCAAAGAGAGCTTAATGTGCTGCAATTGAAGAAAAGGCATGCAATTACAAAACCCATCAGCAAATTGAAAAAGATCTTCATCAATTTGACAGCACAGGTGCTGCAAATACTCACAACACAAACACATTTTTAAAAACCCCCTGCATTCTCACAATACAAACCAAATTAATAAAATGCCCTGCATTTTCTCACAACACAAACAAATCAATAAAACACTTCTTTTTTCTTTTTTTTGTGGCAAAGTTGACCATTTGAATGGAATTGGTCAAAACCATAATATTGGTCAAAATCATAATATAAGCACTGCTACTTTTGGCAAGTATTTTCCCAACAATGTGGTTGTAATTAAGAAATTATTTTGTTAACAAAAAGACAAACTTTTAATTAAAAGGCAAAAAAAGTATTGAAAGCATTTTTTAGAGCCAGCCAAGGCTCAACATCTGACAAGTCTGCCAAGTGAGCTGTTTTTAAGCTTGTCTGTTTACGCTAATTAGCTCTGTAAACATGATGTACATTGGCACTGTAAAAAAGACTGAGCAAATAGACAAACAGCTAACCCTGCATTAGCCTCAACACAGGTTACTGCTCTACTAACACAACTAGACTGATCACCGATTACCTGTCAGACAGTAATCCATTGTTTGGCCTGGTTTTGACCCACAATAAAGAATGCTTACTAATACCCTATAACAACTTATAAGGGATATTTATCCCTGATGCAGCATATGATATAATGGAATTTCATTTTGTAAAAGCAGGATTACTGAACAGTCATGGATCTGTGTTCAGTCTTTATTCCCTGTTGACAAAATAACAAACCATCATTCAATTTTTAAAAAGATAGTTAGACTAAAACTGACATTTGTCGTCATTTATTCCAACTTGTCACAAAAAAATTTCAGTTTCTAAGTTTCTGTTGAACACAAAGAAAGATAAACAGACGAATGTTGGAAACCTGAAACCACTGACTTCTGTAGAATTAGTTTTCTATAGACTTCTATAGAAGTCAATGGTTAGAGTTTTCTAACATTTTTTCAAAATATATATTGTTTTGTTGTGCTGTGTTCAACAGAAAGTCTATAAGGCAGCAAATTTGTTGACCTGTCCACGTTGATAAAAAGATTGGGGACCTTTTTATTACCGTGGACAGGTCAACATTTTTTTTTACAGTGGTCTGGGGGTGTTGTTCTAGGTAGATTGCTAGACGACCATCAAATTTTCTCTCAGATGTCAAGCTGAAAAAAAAACTGCTGTAACTCTGATACAAGTTTTATTCCTTTATTCATTTTCTTTTCGACTTAGTCGCTTTATTAATCAGGGGTCGCCAAAGCGGAATGAACTGCCAACTCATCCAGCATGTTTTTACGCAGTGGATGCCCTTCTAGCCGCAACCCAACACTGGGAAACATCCACAAGTTTTATTTATGGAGAAAATTAAAAGCACTGCAGTGTTAAGCCCATGCCCCTCCAAAGATATCTGCACAACACTATATTCCAAGGTATAAAGCTGCTCGGTCAGTTCTAGTCACATGACTCACAGCGCACTCGCTGTGTTCTGAAAAATGTTTTCAACTGGGGGTGCCTGGAAGGTATGCGTCACTCTCAATATGCAACGCAAAATGCGTGCCTCCATTGGAAATATCGACCTTGTGTGTGGAAAAGACGACATGTGAATGGCTCCTAAAAATGCCGCCATCATTTGCAATCTCGAGCAGTTGATCTTCTTACTACGCAAATATGCTGGATTCACCTAATTTTGTTGACAAATGGGTTGCAGATTCATTCCTTGGCAGTTCATGGGTCCTTCACTGGGCCTTTTCCCCTACGCAAAAAAAAACGTTCAAAATACATCTATTTATTTCTCAATTGGCTAGCTTGTGGGTTAAATTTTGCCATTCAAGTGACCAAGATATCATCGAGAAAATAGTAATTTTTTATTAAATAAAAGATTTCTTTTTTCAAAATAAAAAGATTGTTTTGACTCAGATAATAAATAAAACAGAAATAATTTTATATTATTTCTGCGGCCCTGTACCAGTTGCTCCACAGACCGGTACTGGTCCGAAGCCCAGGGGTTGGGAACCACTTAAGTGTGATTAAATTGAGATATTTGTATTTTTAATTTTGGGTGAACTATACTTTTTGTGTTACAATAAAAATTGTACTATTTCAAAGGAAACTCTAATGCTGCGTTCACACCAGAAATGGATGAAGCATCAAGCGTGAGGGATTAGCATGTTTAGACAATGTAGATATTAATGGGCATCCTGCAGCACGATACGCACGAATGAGGTGGTGCAAATGGCGCGAGATGAGCGCTTTGTGCATTTGACGTGCTTAACATGCTAAATCACAAAAGTTGGAAAATCTGAACTTCAGTGAACATTTGTGCAGCCTTAACCCATCAGGGGCTTTCTCTTGTAGGGCCGTGATTATGACTGTTTTGCGCCTGTTGTTGGTGTGCTGAGGGGAAATCCTCCTGTCAACACCAGACAACAGTACATTAAACTGGGCTCGGCTCAGTCAGAAACACAGATGAAAGCCTCCATCATCCAGGTATAGTTTCTGGAGGAGTTAATGAACTCACGTGGGTACCTCAGAAGGTATCTAGTGGACTAAGACACAATGCCAAACGAATATATACACTCATTTAGCCTTCCTAAAGCACATAAACACAGATAGTCTGTGATTTAGCAACAACGCTAGAGTCACCGGGCAGACAGAAGCCCTGCCCATGACGCGAATCCGAATGAAGCGAGTAAACTCAAAATGTTCATGCGTCTATTTACACGCGAATAACGTGATTTATTTGCACGTTCCTCGTCTGGTCTGAACACAGCATAATAGTCTCTACAGGTAATTGCAAGGACATCAATCACAAATTGTTACATTTCTCAGAGGGATTACTCACCATCTCTTCTGTTGAGTTTTGCAAAATATGGAGACTGACTGTCGGATGAAGATGAGGAGCTCTGGAATGATGTAGGAGGAAGAGCAGAGACCAGCGGCCCATTGCAGTGATCTGGAACAGCAAGAAACACTCATTAGCCAATCAGATTTAACATTCAAGGTCTGTTAATGACTCAATTGTGTCACTTCTTTTATGGTTTGCCCATTGTATAGTTCTCACAAAAAAAATGGTCACCCTATAGACATAAAATAGCTTGTGAATGTTTGTAAAGCTAGCGAGTGTGATTGTAAATACCCTCAACCATGGCTAAAGATACCAGTCAATGGACCAGAAGAAAGCAGTCTGTTGTACTCAGAAGGGTAAACTTCATTCAACCAGTCTAAAATAGGACTTTCAGCATTCATACCTTAGGTTAACGTGCAGAGCAAGATGATGAGAACCAACAAGCAAAAAAAAAGAAAAAAAAAGGAGAGAGAGAGAGAAATCTGACAACGGTTCTCATTTCAATGTTTGAGAAAGCCGCACCGATTTCTCAGCTAATTAACCTTTCAAACGCTTTCTGAATGAGCCTGACATCAAATAGCATCACTCACAGAATTGCAAATGTATTCCAGACTGGGCAAAAGGTGAGACGGGAAGATGAGAGGTAGAAAGGGAGAGATAAAGAGACGGAAAGACATGAAATAGTGAGTATCCAGCTAAGGTCGTAGGAAGGAGAGAATCCAGTAGCTAGCTTAGAGAGACGGCACAAACAAGACAGGAACAAAACACCTCCTTTTCAGGCTTAACCGCATATTTCTTTATGGGACGAAAAACTCTAATGAACATACAACCTCTAATGCTGGTTTTCTCCAGATGAAGCCATTTAAAACCCCACCCCCACGATGCATTTTTCAACAGGGAGTCTCTCTTGCCGACTATCTCTCCATCTTTTCTTCTGTCAGCGTGTAAAGTGAGCAAATTGAGCAAGGGATGTTTTTGAAACTCATAAATATGAATGATGGGGATGACTGACAGGGGCTTTTTCTTCTTGCGGTGACGGTCATGCATTGCATCCACCGGCGGAAAGAAACCAGATTAGACTCCAGAAGGGGAGTGAGATTGACCTGGTGGCTGCCCAGCACCTGATGCTCTGATGGCACAAGAGATGGGAATCGATACAGCATGACCATAAGCCAGAAGCTTCATTACTTGAGATGTTTGGGGGCATTGGCACACAAGGTGAAGATACGATGGAGCGTTTGATGGACAGGAACGTGTACGACCCTGTTGAGGGGGTGATGGAACCAATGCCTGTCTAAAATCAAGAGGGATTTTCTGAAACCACCACAAGATCCTTCTCTGCTCAAGGCTGAGGCAAACTTGTCTTAACTTTCAGGTGGATACTAGACTGTTATTTTCAGAATTGTTTTTCCATCTGTACCTTTGATGCAGAAACAAACTGATTCACTACACCCATGGAACAACAACAAATCTGCCTTTGGATCTAGAAACAGCATGTTGCACATTGTCAGTTACAGCCAATAAGTCTTAAAGAGCCCCTTCTTTGCACTATAAAAGGTCATATGTTGGTTTTGGTGGTCTCCAAAAACAGACTCATATGCATGCAAGGTCAAAAAAACACTTTTATTGTCTTATAATATGCATGTATTTTACCTAATTACCCCAACAACTCCCATGTAATTCGTTCAGTGACGCAATGCAGTTAAAGACCAGCATGTTCCTCTACTTTCAACCGTTAACCCAAGTACTAACAACAAAATACATTCAGTATTAATCCACACAGTGGAAAAAGTTGAACTTTTTTGAAAATGGACTGTGCCATGTGTATAAGGAACAGCTGATGGTGCTCACAGCCACCAACAGCAAGATATTGCGAGAACAAAAGGTGTTTAAAATGGTAAAGGAAGAAGCACACGTCACATTTTCAATGTGGTTTTGGATATAACATGTGAAGAGCCCCATAAAGATTTAACCTGGGAGAAAGTACAAGCATTGTGTCACGTCTGGCGGGATAAAACAGGAACAAAAACGGGAGTAGAATCCAAGTGCAGATTTATTATTGTATTGTGCGGTGACAGAGAACAAAAATGCAAAAATCAAAGTAACAAAATAAACAAACAAACCAGGAACTCAAACAGATTTAACTAGACCTAGACTTTAGCAACTAAGACAGGATACAAACTGGAATCATGAACACATACCAACAAGGACGAACGACGAACTAACAAACAGAGGTGGAATGGTTGAATATATAGTCATGGTAATCAACAGGGAAACAGAGACAGCTGTGATTGCAAATCAGTATATATGAAAGACCGGGTGTGTGCGCGAAGGAATGTGTGGATATGTAGTTCTTTCACCACTGTAGTTCGCAGAGAGTTGCTGGCGAACTACAGTGGCATCTGTACAGTCATGACACATTGATCTAGAATAGATAAGTGATTGCAAGCCGTGTGCAGCGATTACAAGTTACAACACATACTTATTAATATTTTGCAAATTACAGAAAAGGAGGCAACCATTTTAATTACACTTAGAAACTAGTCCATATGAACTGTAATGGTTACTGACAAAGTCCCTGTCAAAGTCTGAAAAAGTATACATAATAGTCTCTGCTGCTCTTTCATTTAATAGCAAAAGGCAGACAAGTCCAACTCTGCAGATAGGTTATTGTATCAAAAATCTGAAAAATGACATGAACACACACACACATCACTATATTGGCTATACTGTGGCGTTGTTGTGAAAATTAACTTAATTCAACCCTTTATTCCCCACAGTTGAATTCCCATCTGTCAGGGATCTTCATTATCTTTGCCATGATCCCCAGTACTCAGCTAGTGTCTGAAGGGAAAGGCACGTTCACGTTTTACCAGATTCACCACTTTATATTTGGTGATGTACCATATAAACTTTAACGAGTTCAGGCAAAAAATCTGAACCCAACACGATTAATTTATTTGACTCCAAGTCAACTATTATATAAAAGAATCAATAGGTTTAAACACGGTACACTTTCAAATTTAAACCTCAGCTAGATATGTTCATTCACTTAGTGCTGTTACACACTGCATGAAAGGTCACTTTTTAAAAACTCATAATACAGGCTTTTTAAGCATTCATTTAAGCCAGGTTGTCTGAATGTCAGAACATGATCATCAGTAAGATCCCAGTTGTCATACTGTAAGGCTGTGTGAGAATTAGGCTTGGTATTCAGTTGGTACCGATACTTGGTACTTCAATGTTAATAATGAACTAGAAGTGGCTGCTTATCATTTTGTGTTTCTGAATGATGTGGTCCTCATATGGCTGATGTTTGTTTACCATACGAATGAAATCTTTTCACATGTGTAAGGTGTCTATACATGCAACAATCGGTCAAGCTGGCTGGGCTGAAAGCGACACAGTAAAAAGTGTGGGTTTACTCTGAGACTACTGCATATTCATAGTTGATCTGACACTTACAAACTACACCAAATAACCCATAAATCATAGTACTACCCAGTTATAAAATTAAGTTTTTGTATCAAAATTTAGACAATAGAATAAAAGACAGTATTGATAAAAACCAGCATCGATAAACGATTTAGGAATCGGCATTGATATCAATAAGTTACGTCAAACGTTGGCACAAGAAGACTCATTCAGAGTATGACATTCTCCATCCGCAGCACATTTATTGACCTGCCTTCTGAAATGGGACCTAACTGCAAACATAAATAATCTGTAGTATAAATTTTTCTCAAGATACCTTGATGTTAAAGACTTTTCCCCACAGTGTTTAGAGTTTTCATGCTAATTGCACCATTGGGTTTGGCACTCTTACAACTCTTACCCAGCAAGACAGTTCACGGGCAGGTTTAGATCCTCGTTCGCAATTGTTTTATTTTTCTCTTTCAACACCCAAGTAACCAACTTTGAACAAAGAAAAGTGGTTCTTAAAACTAGGCTAGAAGTAGGAATTGCTTGGGTCAGGGGCTGAGGACAGTGTTACTGTGACCAACGATATTAACTAAAACAGCATTGTAAAAATACTGAACACATTACTGCTTCTATTATCTGTCTATTCAAATTTCAGCACACTGCACAAATATGTTTCTCCTTTGAATTCTCTGCCTATACAAATTACTATGCTCTACATCAGGGTTGTCAAACTCAATTCCTGGAGGGCCGAAGCCCTGCACAGTTTAGTTCCAACCCTGCTCCAACACACTTACCTGTAGGTTTCGAACAAGCCTGAAGGACTCAATTAGTTTGATCAGGTGTGTTTAATTAGGGTTGGAACTAAACTGTGCAGAGCTGCAGCCCTTTTGGAACTGAGTTTGACACCTATGCTCTACATGAACAGGCTACTATTGCTCGTAATCTTCATCTTTACAAACTATGGTGCGCAAACTATGAACACAATTTATTTGCTGTGTTTGGATGTGGTTGTAGGTTCGCAAAGTTATTATATGTGCCGCATTGTTGATGCTGTGTTTGTATTTGGAACTGCGGGAAAGATTAGACCAGCAGTAGTAGTTTGGTAGCAATTGTGGTGAAATTTGTGTGAATGTAAAAGCACCTCAAGTTTTGCCTGTGAGCTGATGCCATTAGCGAATATGGGAGTGATGATTTGCCTTGGATAAGAGAATGAGCCTGCATTTCATTTGCACATTGTGAGTGCAATCAGAGCATCAAATGAATAGCCTGTAATCAGCTTTCCCCTCAAAAGATTTGTTTGCAAGCCTCAGAACGCAAGTGTCCTTGCATGGCTCTACTGTGCACAAGCACTCAATTAAAAGCAGCACAATACCCTGACCTGCGTTCATGTGCCACACATGTCTGTGATGATGCAAAATGAACAAAAGTGCACCAGAGATCAACGGAATCAATAGAGTGTGAAAACAGACCAACATTTGGAGGGCATTAGGAACAATCCCATTCAGATTCAGAACATTCCAAGGCTGAAAATCCTTTATTTAGTTTTATAACTGCAACTTCATGCTTTTGGAATGTAGATAGAATAGGGAAATTATGCTCAAGTTTTGCTCTTTCTCAGCTCAAGATTTGATAACTCATTCATCCATCTATGTTTCCTTTAGCACCTGTTTTAACATTGGTAGATG